AGAAATGTCTCAGCAAGATGATGAGGCACTGAACGATGGAACACCAATAGAAATGTTTCAACGAGATAATGAAACACTGAAAGCACTCACTGGTCTATTCCAAGAAATTTGAAAGATAGCTACCTGGCCAGCGTACTGGAAGAAATCTATATTTGTGCCCATTTCAAAGAAAGATGACAACAGCATACAAAAAAAATTAACAATATCAATATCACATGCAAATAAAATTTTACTGAAGCTAACAAGAGTGGTTGCATCACTATGTTGATAGGAAACTGGCAGACATTCAAGACATATTCAGAAGAACTTGACTGAAAGCAGAGAATACCAGAACGATATTTAGTTGTGTTTTATTGAGTATGCGAAGGTATTTCACTGTGTGGATCCTAACAAACTATAGATAACATTGCAAAGAATGGAAATTCCAGAATACTTCATTGTGCACATGTGGACCCAGTACATAGACCAAGAGGCAATCATTCTAACAGAACATGATTTAAAATCAGGAAAGCTGGCCTTAAGGATTCTAATCCTTTCACCATACTTATTCAGTATTTATTCTGAGTGAATAACCTGAGAAGTTGGACTATATGAAAAAGAATGCAACATCAAGATTGGAGGAAGTTCATTAACCATCCGTGATATGCAGACGACACAGCCTTGCTTGCTGAAAATGAAAAAGAATTGAAGCATTTATTGATGAAGATCAAAGAGTGCAGCCTTCAGTATGGATTACAGCTCAGTGTGGAGAAAACCCAAACCCTCACCACTAGACCAATGGACATGACATCATCATGATAAATGAAGAAGAGATCAAAGTTGCCAAGGGTTCCATTTTACCAGGATCCACAATCAGCACCCATGGAAATAGCAGTCAAGAAATCAAATGAGCTATTGTTTTGGGCACATGTACTGTACAAGACCTGGTTAAAGGTTTAAAGAGCAAAAAATGTCACTTTGTGAACTAATATGTGACTGCCTCAAGTATTTTCAGTCACCTCATATGGATTTGGAAGTTGGACAGTGAATAAGGAAGACTAGAGAAGAATGATGCATTTAAACAATAATGTCGATGAAGAATATTGACAATACCATGGACTGTTAGATGAACAAACAAATGTCTTGGAAGAAGTACTGCCAGCATGCTCCTTAGGAGTGAGGATGAGACTTTGTCTTGTGTACTTTGGACATGTTCTCAGGAGAGAAAGCCCCTGAAAAGACAGTATGGTTAAGACAGTAAAGGGTTGGGGAAGAAAGTGGAAGACACTAGATGGCTTGACATCGTGGTTGCAGTGATGATGTCAAACATAACAATCGTGACAGTGGCACAGGCTGGGGGGTGGCTTATTCTGTTGTCATGGGATTGCCGTGAGTCGGAGCTGGTTCAGTGGCACCTAGCAACAAGAACAGAGGGACACAGGAAGGTTGAATGAGGACACAGATGTGAAAGTGCTAGGCAAATAGTAGGGGGATACTAATTACACAGTCCAACAAATTTTGTTTGTTTTTTAGTGTCTTGGTTTTTAGGCCTCTTCTGGGGGTTATTTGGCGCACTGATTCAGAAAATTGCATTGGATAGATCACATCGGCTCCAGTTTCTTAGATAAGATGTTCTACTTTATTTTCAGCTATTGAGTCACACTAATTTA